TGTGCCCGCCCCCTGGGCTCTTTACTGCTGGAACTCTGCTCCTGTGCGCTTCTGCAGGAAATGACCCCTGCCAGGGACTTTAATCTGGGAGAACCGGATTTGATTCCCCACTCCTCCACTTGCAGCTGCTGGATGACCGCGCTCTTAACCACGACACCAACAGACAAATACAACCAGGTTTTATACACACCCCACCCTTACTATTTAGTCTTAGGTTTGCTTTGCCTCTACCCAAACCTTTTCCCAAATGATTTTTTTTAAAAAACCCTAAACACTCCAATCCTCCCCCAAGCTGGACCACCAGCGACCGACTCTCTCACTCCCTTCCCGCAAGATTTAAAGGGCCCTTCAGTGGATCGGCGGGGAGCCACGTGGCCCGCCGATCAGCTGGACGGCCCTTTAAGTTGTGCAGGAGGGAGGGAGAGAGGCACGCGCCATCCCCTGCTGCTTCTCAAGCGCATTTAAAGGATCCCTTTAAATGCTTTTGAGAAGAGGCAGGGAGCCGTGTGCGCCCCGATTCTTCTAAAAAAATCTTATTCTCAACAAATTATTGTGGGGCTGGCCCTTTAAGGAAGGGGGCAGAGCCCGCGATAGTCCCACTGTAGCTATGGGCCGGACAGTGTCTGTGGCATTAAACCCCACTGATGTCCCTCTCTTCCCCCAACCCTGCCCTCCCCAAGCGCCACCCTCAGACCTCCACGAATATCCCCACCCAGAATCATAGAGTTGGAAAGGGGTCCTATAGACCATCTAGTCCAGCCCCCTGCCCAATGCAGGACCAGCCTAGAGCATCCCTGACAAATATCCATCCAGCCTCTTCTTGAAAGCCGCCAGTGAAGGGGAGCTCCCCACCTTCCTGGGAAGCTGATTCCACCTCTGAACCACTCTGACCGTGAGAAAGTTTTTCCTAATCTCCGGCTGATGCCTTTCTGCGTGTAATTTGAACCTGTTGCTTTGGATCCACTCCTCTGCTGCCAACTGGAACGGCTCCTTGCCCTCCTCCAAAGGACAGCCTTTCAAATATTCAAAGAGAGCAATCATGTCCAGTGTTCCCTCTAAGCTGAGTTAGTGTGAGCCAGCTCAGTTTTTTAGCCTCCAGCTCACAAATTTTTGTCCTAGCTCAGGAAGGGACGGCTCCAGAGCAAACTAATTGGTGCAGTAGCCCAATCGCTCGCTCACAACTTTAATGCCGGGAGCTCACAAAGTAGAATTTTTGCTCACAAGACTCCACAGCTTAGAGGGAACATTGATCATGTCCCTCCTCAATCTCCTCCAAACTAAACATTCCCAGGGCCCTTCGCCTTTCCTCATAGGGCTCAGTCTCCAGACCCCTGATCATCCTTGTCGCTCTCTTCTGCACCCTCTCAGTTTTGCCCACATCCTTTTTGAAGGGAGGCCTCCAGAACTGCACACGGGACTCCAGGTGCGGCCTGACCGAGGCGGTATACAGAGGGGCTATGACCTCCTGCGATTTCGATGCTATGGCCCTTTTAAGACTGAACTGGCCTTTTTTGCCACCGCATCACACTGACTGCTCATATTTAGTTTACAGTCCACCCTTACCCCAAGATCTCTTTCGCATACACTCCTCCCCAGAAACGTATTCCCCCATCCAGTATTTGTGCTTGACGTGTTTGTGGCCCAGATGTAATACTGTGCATTTATCTTTGTTGAATTGCATCCCGTTCGCAACTGCCCACTTCCCCAGAGTATTCAGGTCTTGTTGCATTTTAACTCTAACTTCTTGGGTGTTTGTTACTCCTCCCAATTTGGTATCATCAGCAAATTTAACGAGTAGCCCTTCTACCCCTTCATCCAGATCACTGATAAAAATATTGAAAAGTTGGCAAGCCTAGACGCAGTGCATCTTCGTTTTGTTAAGAAAGCGGCAGCACTTGGGAATATTAAACAGTCGGGCGAAAAAGAGAATTTCGGCAGACAGAGCTGCTCTCTCAACTTTGCCCCCATTTCTCTAAGATCCTGCATAGGCCAAAATTCTTTACTTGGGACAAATATTAAAGACATTGGAGCACACGCACCCCAATTTCCGTCTGGAATCAGCCGCCTAGGGAGGTGGTGAGCTCCTCCTCCCTGGCAGTCTTTAAGCAGCGGCTGGACAAACGCTTGCCAGGGATGCGTTAGGCTGATCCGGCATTGAGCAGGGGGTTGGACTAGATGGCCTTGTATGGACCCTTACCAGGGGTCATTTCCTGCAGGAGCGCACAGGAGTGGAGCTCCGGCAGTAAAGAGCCCAGGGGGTGGGTACATACAACAAGCCCCACCCGCTGCTCCCAGCAGCCTTCAGTCAGAGCAAGAAGCAGCCAGGTAAACTGCAGAGCGCCCACCCCACTCCCCGGTCCAAAACAGTCCAGTGGCACCTTTAAGGCCAAGGTTTATTCAGGTACAAGCTCTCCCTCCTCTGTGAGGGACAGATCTGCACGTTCCCCCTTCCCCAATAGCTAGCCATCCAACACAGTCCAGTGGAGACTGAGCGGTGGGTGTTGCCTTCTGACACACTTCCGGTGAGGTCAGGGGGTGTGGCATATGAAAACAGGTTATGCTAATGAGCTATGCTAATGAGCTCCTGCAGCTCTTTTTCTACGAAATGACCCCTGCCCCTTACAACTCTGGGATTCTAGGATTCTATGGTAACCCCTCCTCATTTGCCTTTGACTTGGTTCCATCTGATTCGGCTTTTCACAGTGTGTGTGTGTGTGTGTGTGTGTAGAGTGACCCCTTCGGGTTTTCAAGACCAGACAAGAACAGAAGTTTTTTGCCATCACCTACGTAGGAGGCTTCCTTGTCCCATCCAAGTCATAAGCGGGGTCAAATCTGCTTAGCTTCTGAGATCTGGTGAGATTGGGCTAGCCTAGACAACTAGAACGATCCAAGTGTTGGAACACACTCCCTATGAGGAAAGGTTAAAGCGCTTGGGGGCTCTTTCGCTTGGAGGAACGACGGCTGAGGGGTGACATGATCGAGGTTTATAAGATTATGCCTGGGGTAGAGCAGGTCGAGAAAGAAGGACTTTTCTCCCTTTCTCACAATACAAGAACTCCTTGTGGGCACTCCATGAAATCGCTGAGCGGTCAGGTTAGAACGGATAAAAGGAAGTACTTCTTCACCCAAAGAGTGATAAACACATGGAACTCACTACCACAGGAGGAGGAGGCGGCTACAAGCATGGACGGCTTCAAGAGGGAATTGGATAAGTATATGGAGCAGAGGTCCATCAGTGGCTCTTAGCCACAAGGTATAGATAGGGACTCTCAGGCTGGGGCAAGGGATTCTCTGTCTTCTTGGTGCTTGGGGGGGAAGGGCAACAGTGGGAGGGCTTCTAGTGTCCTGGCCCCACTGCTGGACCTCCTGAGGGCACCTTGTGTTTTTGGCCACTATGTGACACAGAGTGTTGGACTGGATGGGCCGTTGGCCTGATCCAACACTGGCTTCTTTTATGTTCTTATAAGAGGGAACTGGATAAGCATATGGAGCAGAGGTCCATCCATGGTTATGAGCCACAAGGTATAGATAGGAACTCTCCTGGTGGCACCTGGTCTTTTTGGCCACTGTGTGACAGAGTGTTGCACTGGCCTCATCCAACACTGGCTTCTCTCATGTTCTTATGACCCTCGAGGTCAGGGGCAGACAAACAGAGGTGATTTGCCATCGCCTACCGGAGCACTAACCCAGGCCAGCTTGAGCCATCTGGATAAGGGCCTTTTTTTTTTTTACAAAACACGCTCTTCTCTCATATCCACGCATCCACACATGAAGACCCAATGCGCCCTTTGGAAAGAAAAAGCTGTTTACTGTGCGAGAACCATCTCCATTAGCCTTTCCCGTTCCCTCCCCCCCCCCCCCCCCCCCCTCCAGGACACATATGCAACAATTACTGAAAAATTCTTGTTTCCCTGCCAAAGAATCTGTGTTGGGAAGTCTTTGACCGGCAGATGACTCCCAGTCTCGGGCGTGAAGAATCCCATCTGCAAGACAGGGCACGAAGCCTTCGCTCACGGCCCTGCTAGTGAGAGGGACTTTGGAATCTGCAACACACTTCCTGGGTGCCTCTTCCTGTATGAATCACCTCCGTTCCACGGGCAAAAGAAACCGAGGCCGATAATCGGTCACCTCCAGACAGTTCCGCTTTCTCAACTGCACAGTGTCCGTTAACACTTAAAATTTCCCTCTTGTGGTTCCAGCGCCGAGCGCATTCCTTGCCAGATTTGGGCCCCTGCCAGTCCAATGCACGTAGTTTCTGTGAATTTCCCAGCGTGCCCAAAGGGAGTTCATTTCAGACACCCCGGGAGGCAGGAGAATGTCTCCTTCACCCGCAACAGAAAGGGGCCCGTGTGCTTGGCACTGTGGCTCTTTGGCGACAGAATCTGCCGAGGCAGGTCAGCGGGAGGTCTTTTGTCAGCCGGCAGCAGGCCTCGTATGTCCTCGTCGTCGTTGAAAGGGGATGCTCCGTACTTGCGCACAAGCTGCCGACGGATCTGCCGAGGGCATAAAAGAAGTAGTTAGAAGAAGAAGAGGAAGAAGAAGAAGAGGAGGAGGAGATTGGATTTATACCCTGCCCTTTACTACCCAAAGGAGTCTCAGAGAGGTTTATGAACTCCTTCCCCTTCCCCTCCCCACAACAGACACCCTCTGAGGTAAGGGGGGACTGAAAGAGCTCTGACGGAAATTGCTCTTTTTTAAGGACAGCTCTTGTCAAAACTACGGCTTGCCCAAGGTCATCCACCAGGTGCAAGTGGAGGAGTGGGGAATCCGACCCGGTTCTCCCAGATTAGTGTCTACACATCCTTGTTCCGAGCCTTGCTGGGGTCTTGCAAACAGTTCCTTGATGGAGTCAATCCATCTCCTTTTTGGTCTTCTGCTTTTCCTGTGGCCTTCAACTTTCCCCCACATTATCGTCTTTTGCTTTGGGCCAAATGGTTATGGGAGGCGTGGGACCTTGGACAAGTACAAAGCCATAGACTCCACCCTCCAAACCAACTATTCCCTTCTGGGGAACCATTGTTGCCAATCTCCAGGTGAGGACTGGAGATCACTCAAAATTACATCAGTTCCTCTGGAGAAAATGGTGGACTCAGTGTCATTATACCCTGCTGAGGTCGCCACAGCAAATTGACACTGAGTGTCCAAGGCCGGGGCACACGCCCAGAGCCTCTTTCTAGAGGCCGTTGTATTTATTTCCACAACGGGCCTTTTTCCTAGTTAAAAATATAGTGTATCCAAACAATGATTACAAACAGAATACCCACCCACACGCAAAAACAAAACTGAAACCTTTTTCTTTTCTTGTGACAATAGCACCTCCTAAAGGAAGAAATGCATCTTGTTCTTGCATTGGAGAGTTCAGTTGGTAACCTAGGACTTGCTGGTCCTCAGTGCACAGAAATCAAATCAATCTGATACCATACATATTTTTTAGAAATGACTTGGAAAATATTTGAACACCTTGTCTTGAAATATTTTACTCATCATGTTAAAATAAAATGTTCCATAATGATTTTTTTTTCTTTTCTTTTTTCAATTTTTTGGGGGAAAAAAATCCCCCACGATTTTTTCCGTTTTTTTTCCGGGACTTCACATCTCTATTCCTACCTGGCCCCCCAACCCAGCCCACTCCCCGTCACCTCCAGCTCTCACCTTCTGCGCAGACTTGCTTTTCCCGTACTCCTCCAGCTGCTGACGGAATCCAGGATTGGGGTTGGCGACCGACCGCACCGCCTTGACGGCCTCCAGCGTCTCGTACCAGTTCAGCTGCGTCACCGCCATGACGTACACCAGGACGATGGTGGTACTGCGAGAGATCCCGGCAAGGCTGTAACCGGAATGAGAAACAGTCAGAGACGTCTGCCTTCTCTGGCCCCCTCACTGGGCCCTTTGACTAGGAATGGTAGCAGCAAATGGTATTGGGCGTTTCTTGGAAAGAATGCCACTGAACATGCAAAAAGGACAGCACTGAAGCTCTAGCTTGCCTGAAAATAGGAGCATAAGAAGAGCCCTGCTGGATAAGACGGATCGGCCATCTGGTCCAGCATCTTTTCTCACACAGTGGCCAGCCAGTTCCTCTGGAGGACCAGCAACAGGGCAGAGAGGCCGAGGCCTTCATAAGAACATCAGAAGAGCCCTGCTGGATCAGACCAGTGAGGGTCCATCCAGTCCAGCATCCTGTCTCACACAGTGGCCAGAAATACCAGGTGCCATCAGGAGGTCCACCAGTGGGGCCAGGACATTAGAAGCCCTCCCACTGTTGACCCCCCCCCCCCAAGCACCAAGATGACAGAGCATCACTTGCCCCAGAGTCCCTATCTATACCTTGTGGCTAATAGCCACTGATGGACCTCTGCTCCATATGCTTATCTAATTCCCTCTTGAAGCCCTCCATGCTTGTAGCTGCCACCACCTCCTGTGGCAGTGAATTCCATGTGTTCATCACTCTTTGGGTGAAGAAGTACTTCCTTTTATCCGTTCTAACCCGACCGCTCAGCAATTTCATGGAGTGCCCACAAGGAGTTCTTGTCTTGTGAGAAAGGGAGAAAAGTACCTCTTTCTCTACCTGCTCTTTCCCATGCATAATCTTATAAACCTCAATCATGTCACCCCTCAGCCGTCGTTTCTCCAAGCTAAAGAGCCCTAAGCGCCTTAACCTTTCCTCATAGGGAAAGTGTTCCAACCCTTTTATCATTCGAGTTGCCTTTTTCTGCACTGATCATTTCCCACCACAACGTATTCTCATACGACTGTCTTGTGGCACAGATCAGTGGAACTCCCGGTCTTCTGAACGAACTCTGTGCTTGGCCATTCCCCCCTGTCTTTGCCAACGCGATATGTGAACGTACCAATGCACGAGGCAGTTTCCTCCACGCAGGCGGCAGGAGTGGATAAAATGAATGCATTCTTTAAAGTGCTTCTTGCTGGGGGGGTGGGGGGAAGGGAAGCAAAGCAAAACATTAGAAGAGGGAGGAGGGGAAGAGACTGGATTTATACCCTGCTCCAGGGGTCATTTCGTGGAAAAAGAGGTGCAGGAGCTCATTAGCATAACTTATTTGCATATGCCACAACCCCAGACATCACCAGAAGTGTGTCAGAAGGCAACACCCACCGCTTAGGCTCCACTGGACTGTTTTGGATTGCTAGCTATTGGGGGGGGGGCGTGCAGATCTGTCCTCGCAGAGGAGGGAGAGCTTGTACCTGAATAAAACTTGGTCTTACAGGTGCCACTGGACTGTTTTGGACCCGGAGGCTGCGGGTGTGCGAGCTCTGCAACTTACCTGGCTGCTTCTTGCTCTGACCGAGGGCTACTGGGAGCAGGGGGTGGGGCTTGTTGCATGTGCCCGCCCCCTGGGCTCCTTACTGCCGGAGCTCCGCTCTTGTGCGCTCCTGCAGGAAATGACCCCTGCCCTGCTCTTCACTCAGAGTCTCATAGCGGCTTACGGACTCCTTTCCCTTCCCCCTCCTCCACAACAGATACCCTGTGAGGCTGGCGGGGCTGAGAGAGCTCTTTTGAGGACTGCCCTCGAGAGAACAGCTCTGCGAGAACTTGTAACTGACCCAAGGTCACACCAGCAGCTGCATGTGGAGGAGCAGGGAATCTAACCTGGCTGTCCCAGATTAGAGTCCGTGCTCTTAACCACGACAACAAACTGGCTCTCTAGCACTCCCTGGAGAGTAAAAAAAGGTACACCAAAAAGGAGCTGCGGTGGCTCAAGGGGTTAAGACGCTGAACTGCAGGCTGTGGAAGTTCAGCAGTTCGAGACCCGCGTGTGCCACATGATGGAGTGAGCTCCCGTCTCTAGTTCCAGCTCCTGCCAACCTAGCAGTTTGAAAGCAAGAAATTGCAAGTAGATAAATAGGTACCGCTTCAGTGGGAAGGTAACAGCGTTCCGTGCGCCTTGGTGTTTAGTCATGCCGGCCACATGACCACGGAAACGTCTTCGGACAGCGCTGGCTCTTCGGCTTTGAAACGGAGATGAGCACCGCAACCCTAGAGTCGGATTCGACTGGCTTTCGAGCAAGGGAACCTTTACCTTTACTTTACCTAAAAATTATATAAACATTCTATCTAAAATGGTTGGAAAGGGCATCATTGGCCCCGGTCACACGGGAGGCTTTGATCCGCCAGAGGGACGGATCGGGGGCGCATCAAGCGGGCGCGATCACACCGCAACATCTAGGAAGCGGCGCGCACCCATCCCCGATCCGTCTCTTCCGGCCGAAGATGCGGATCAAAAAAACCTCTACAAGACATTACGACTTACCAGAAAATTCGCAGCAGGGGTGGCCGTGTGATCGCCGGTGCGCCTGTCTCCGGCAGCATGCAAGGCCCCCTGCTGAGCTGCGCAGGCGCACACATGCGCAGCGGGCTCGCCTCGCTCACCGATCTGTGGCTTCCCCCGGCATCTGATCATGCCGGGGAGCAACTGCGCGGCGGCTCGGGGGATCTGTCTGATCCCGCCGCCGTGCTTCTCTTTTGATGCGGCTCAAAAAAGCCGCACTTCAGTTGCACCTTTTCCCCCAGTGTGACCGGGGCCATTAAGTTTCACTTGTATCCAGCTCCTTCTCTATTCCAGTTGCCAAAAGAACAGATCATGCTCTTGCAGCGGCAGGTCAAAAATCCACGGCTTGGATATACTTTAATCACAATTCCAGACAGTATCGTTTGGCTCCTTGCAACGATATCCAGAAAGTGGCAACCCTGGTTTGTCTCTGTCCTGACCTGCTTGCCCAATCTCATCAGCTCCATTAAGGTAAACAGGGTCAACCTTGTGTTTAGTACTTGGATGAGAGCAGGGCCGGCTCACCCACTAGGCGAACTAGGCATTTGCCTAGAGTGCTGGGCCCTGGAGGGGGCACCGAGTTGTGCCTCCCCCCGCCCACCAAAAGCCCACGAGCAGCTCTCCAAATGTCAGCACTTCGCTAATTGGGGAGAGGCATCCGGCGAGCATCCCCCGCCTGGAGACAGGATCCCCCCCACCTCCCTCCCAAACTGCCTTCGGAAGCGGAG